CCGCTCCTCGTTTCCATAGCAACCCCCCTGACACCCCGTTCCCACGAACACCCCCCGCTACTCCCTTCCACCCCCAGCTCCGGCAGCGGAGGGTTAACGCCCGCCCCGCCCCGCCCCCCGGGTGTTACGCCACTTCCGGCAGGGCGCGGGTGCCGCGGCCCCTTTAAGGCCGGAGCCGCCCGGGGCCGCGCCGAGCGGGGCTGGGCCCCGCCATGGTGGTGCTGAAAGGCCGCGAGGCCGGGGCCGGGGAGGCGGCGGAGCAGTTCCTGTGAGTGCCCGGGGCATCCCCGCCTCCCTGGGGGGCGCCGTGCTACGTCACGGGGATTCCCCGCCCCCGGGGGTTCTGTCGCTTACGTCACGGGGTTCCCTCCCCTGTCCCCTGGGGTCTGGCTCTGCACGGGGGTCCCTGCCTACGTCAGGGGATTCCCTTCCCTGTCCCCCTGCAGGGGGTTCTCCCTGTCCCTTCCCGCAGGGTTGTCCCATGCTGCCTGCTTCGCTCCCCTTGGCGGGGGCTAATTACGCCCCTGGGCGCAGAGTGGGGCAGATAGGCCCAGTGCTGGGGGTTGTGGGGTGACTGGACTGACCCTTGCAGCCCTTTGGCCCTTGGCTCCCCAGCGCCCTTGGAGCAGTAGCCTGGCTTGGAGGCGGATGTTGCGTGGGGCGGACCGGGGCCAACCTGCCCGGGCTGCTCTGGATCCTTTCGCCAGCCTGGGCAGGCCTGCTTTGAGCTGCCGAGCCTCCCTGCAAGCGCTTGGCCCCCGGTTGACATAGCGGGTGTTCAGACCCCGTGCAGCCTCGCCAGGGAGGCCTGTCAGGCTTCCTGCGGCTAACTCCCCCCACCCTTGCTGCGGGCTCGGGGCTGCAGAGCGGGGTCCCCAGGCTCATCTACTGCGTGTTCGAATGTTCAGGTCCAAGGGAAGCCGTGCCCTTACCGGGCGGGCGCGCTTTCCCCAGACCCCCGGCCCTGGAGCTGGCCCTGCTGGAGCAGGGTCCCCTGAAACTGACAAGCCCCCCCCTGAAACTGACTAATGCCCAAAGCCTGGGAAATGAGGGGAGCCTTGTCAATTTCAGGGCTGCCAGGCAGGAGCTGTCAGCGCTCTCTGTTACCATAGCAGCACCACAACTGACCGGCTCCATCGCTGGCCGGGCTTCTAATAGCATCCCTTTGGCAAAGGCTCCAGCTCCCTGAAAGGGAGTAAATCTGCTTGCAGAGTAGATGGGCAGTGGGGTGGAAAGGGGCTGTGCCGTGGAGATCTGCTTATAAGCAGGATGTTGGGACCTGCTTCGCTGCCTGCAGTTCAAATAAAACGAATGCTCTTACGCTATGCGTGACGTGCGTCTGAGTCTTGGGCCAGCCCTTCTGTCCATGGCATCTCCGGCATGGGAGAAGCGGACTTGATGGCCGCTCAGTAAAGCGGCTGGGGGGTGGGTCTCAAACCGGGAGCCCCTAAATGATCTGTAGGGGATTAACTAACTATTAACTTCATGACTAGATGGGAGTGCTGTAACTTGGTGCCACGGGCACGGAAGAGACCGGACCTGAGCTGGGTGACTCAACCAGTGCTTCTTCCGTGAGACCTTCCGCCTTTTGTTTCCTGTTGGCATCAGGCTGGAAGGTGTTGGGTGTCCACGGGCAAAGGGGTTAGGGCTGGGATAATTGGGTAATGATTCTTTGCACAGAGCATGCATCACCAGTCCTGTCATCCAAAGTCAGCGAGTGCTTTCTGGAGCTAAGGTCATGTCATCAGCCCTGCTGGGTAGATGGGCAAGCTTGGGACGGGCACGGTGGCTGGGCAACTGTTCGATACTTGGAGAGCTGCCATGTGTTCATTGTCACACCACACGTGCAATCAACTTGCAGGTTACGGGTTGCTTGCAGGCTGTGGGCTGGGGTCCCCATGCAAAAAGTACCTTACCGTGGTATCTCTCTGGGACTTGTGCTTTAAAACCGTGTGGTCCTTTGGCTCCCAAAGAGCAGGATTCCCGTGCATTTCAGACGGCCACAGCCCTGCCGGTGTGCCCGTCGTGGTAGCATGGCTGAGGGCTTTCTCCGGAGCTGCTGTGGGAAGCCTAATTCTGCAAAGCCAGCTGCTAATCTTCGGGGGGATTCCTGCCATTCACGGCATGTCCCGTTGATGAAGTGGCAAATGCTAGAAACGGTTTAGAGATCTCTGGTAGGAAAACTGGCTGAGTTGTTAGTTTGTTTGGGGGCTGGAGAGGAGGGGGAAGCACTTTATTTGTTGCAATGATGCAAAAATCTGCCAAGTGCAGATCACAAGGCATGGGGCTTGCTTACCTGTGGGCTCTAGCTGGTTTTTTTAGGTGGCTGGAGAGGGTTGGGCTGCTTATTGCATTGCTGGATACGAGCTTCAGAGCAGCAACTTCAATGCACGTGCTTTAACTTTGTCTCTGCTTCCAAAGGATATCGGTAATAACCGGGGAGGCAGTGAAGGGAGCCTGAATGGGCTGTTGGAGCAAAAAGCAGGTTAGGGGGAGAGCTTGCGTTGCCCAGGAAGCATGCTGGGATTCAGTCCTGAGCAGTGAAGACCTTCCCTGGGGCATATTGACGGCATTGAAGCTGTGCGTGTAGACAAGAGCTTCCAAGCCGAGGCTGTTCTGTCCCTGGTTGCACGCGTTGTGCGACTGAGCTCCTTGTGGGTGTGGGTAGCAGGGTGGGGGAGAACTGGCCAGGCTGGTAAGTCAGTGGCCCAGGAAAACCCAGTTCAGCTGTTGCCAGGAAGAGCATTACCTTGCTCCGAGGAACCTGCCAGCAGTTGTACCCCGGCCTGTGCTGCTAGTTGAATGCCACGCTGAACTAGCTGCACAGCCTGTAAGGGGATCTGGCCCGCCTGCCATGATTTGCACAGAGCTGTCTGGGACTTGCCCTTTAGTGCCTGGACGGGCGCCAAGCCTCGGTGCTCTTTACAGATAGGCACGGTTCTGAGGTCACCACATCTTGTGAGTCTCCAAGATTGTGAAACACAACCCTTGCCCTGCCAGCTCTTCGCCCGCAGGGGAGGATCCCAGATCTCGCTAGGCGTCCTGGGATCCAGCAGGATTTCGGCAAGGCATCATGCCTGCAACCTGCTTCAGCTGTAATGTAACTGCTATTGATGCTGTTTGGTGGGATGCTTTATGTTGTCTATCACATCACAAGCCCATAGCGGAGGGGCTGTGGCTTGTAGGTGGGGAAACTGAGGCACTGGAAGAGAGATGATGTGCACCAAGTCAGCCAGCGTGTTGTTGGCAGAGCTGCAATCGGAGCTTGCGCCTCCCAAGTCCCAGTCCGGTGTCTTGGCTGCTGGAGAAACCGAGTGGGTACAAACTCGAGTACCTGATGCATCGCATGCCCTTCTGGGCTGATGCCTCGTGCTTCCCTTGCCTTGGACTTGAATGCATCACAACCCGTCTGGAGCAGGGGCGTGCGCCGTGCATGTCTCTTGGGCAGATCCTTGCTATCTCCTACCACTGCTGAGTCTTGCAGACACTGTGCGCTAGTCAGGAGGGGAGATTGATGACCTGGGTAGATGCATTGGGGCTGACTGGCCAGCTCGGGGGCAAGGGCAGTGAAGACTGGCTCTGGAAGCTGGCAACTGAAGCTGGAGCTCAGGAGATTTCTGATTAGCACATTGTGCCGCTTTCCTTCTTAATACCAGACGGAAAATTGAGCGAAGCTCCCTGGTGTCCACAGGGACTGCCCATCAAACCAGCCCCCTGCTCCTGTCACTAAGCAGGCCCCAGCTGTGCAGATCCTGACACGACGCTGCGGGGGGGAGCGTGGATGGATGAGACGCTTTGGAAGCATGAGTCTTGCCCTCTGGAAAAGAAACGATCGAAGGTTCAGTGCGTTCCTTTAAGGGCTCACCGGATTTAGCTTAGGAGGCAGCTGTGCCAGGCCTGGCTTGTTTCTCATGTCGGACTCCGGCCTTAAACATGAATAAATGTTATTAAGATGCAGCAAAGGAGCTGCAGTCTGGGTATGCGCGCAGGCCGTGGGTTATCTTCCACGGGTGCCTTCACCGAGGTGGTGCTGTTCATTGGCGCGTGGCCCGGAGGATTGTACGTCCAGCCAGGCACAAGCAGCAAGTGAATAGGCCGTTTATTTTAGCCAGCGGACTTGCTCTGATGATCAAGGCCGGTGAAATGAGCCCATCGGGCATCTCAGACTGGCTTGCAGCTCGAGTGGCGCTTGAAAGTAATGCCATTTACGTAACGGCGGGGGGGTTGGGAGGTTTCTGAACATGTCAAATGAAGACTGCGCTTGGGCAGTGATTGAGGTTATCAGCTCTGGCTGCTGCCTTGTCCATCAGCCGCCCACGAGGGAGTGCGGGGTAGCCTGGCAGGCGTGTTGCTCCGTGTCTGGCTCTCCAGATGTCTCGGAGTCAGGGTTGGGCTTCGGAGGGCATTTGGAGATAACCATCTGTCCGCACCAGGCATGTGGTTATCACGGCTCCTACACCCCCCCACAGAGCCCAGCTGATCTGCTCCCCCGCTAGTCCTGTGCAGCTTCCCCGGGGCATCGTGGTCCTGACTTATCCTCCCCCCTCCTTTGCTCTTCCAGCCGTAGCCCCCCAGAACCTCCCAGCTGCGCCAGCCCCTGGCAGGCCCGGGTACAGCCGAGGTCCCAGAGCTGGCGCTCCCCCATCAGCGCGTTGTGTGTGTGTCCCCTGCAGACGGATCGAGGACTGCCTGCCCCCGCTGGAGAGCTTGCCCGCCAAGAGGTTCTCCCCCTCCAAGCGCAAGCAGCACTACATCAACCAGGCCATCCGCAACTCCGACCTCATCCCCAAGGCCAAGGGGCGCAAGAGCCTCCAGCGTCTGGAGAACAGTAAGGAGACGGCACGCGCGGGCACCGCTTCCCTCTGCCCCCCTGGGGCCTGGCCACGCCGCTCGCCGGGGCAGGGCTGCCCAGGAGAGCCGGGCTGCTGGCACCCGGCCCCGAGCTCGCCTGTGCTGCGTAGCCGGGTGTTGATAAAGCAGCTGGAAGAGAGGCCACGTCACGGTGACTGTGCAGAGCTCTCTGCAGAGCGGCCCAGACGATGTTTTTAAGGCCCGGGTGGCTCTCCCCCGAGGCGCCTGACTCCAGTCCTCCGAAGCTTGCCCAAGGAGGCTTGGGTTGGGTCTTGGAGGAGGGAATCGGGATGCCTGGGCTATAAACGGGGGATGGGGGAGCTCCCTATGTGACCCAGGCTGCAGCCCTGGGGCACACTCCGAGCTGCCTTGTGAGATGCCCATGAGAGCAGGGGGACCGAGAAATCCCCGTTCGACTCCAGGGCAGGGCCTGGCTCCTGGCTGCCCCGTCCCTGCTGCCTCCCCAGTATCGCAGCCCCTGGCGCTCTGGCCCCGCGCCCCTCACAGGCTTGGCTTTCTCCCAGCCCGGTACCTGATGACCCTTCTGGAGCGAGACGAGTGTGGCACTGACGAGGGGGACCTGGCTTACCCGGCCGCCCCCAGCATCTTCACCGAGGCCTGCAACAACGAGACCTACATGGAGGTAGGGGGCTCGGCCTCGCCGATGGCCTGGGGCGGCTGCTTGCTGCGGGCTCGCTCCGTTTTTGGCAGAAGGGCTCCCGTTCTGGTCCCGCTCTGTACCGGCAGCTCTGTCCTTTGGCCAAAGGGCTCTAGGACCTTGGCTGATCTCGTGGGGAGGAAGTGATGTGATTAATCCTGGCGGGGGTCCACTCCATAGGGCAAGAGTCAGAGCCTCCAGCTTGCTCTTGGGGGGATCCTTTTAAAACCATTCAGCCCCAGTGCATCTGGGGGGGACACGGCACTGATATCAAAGTGCCTGAGGACCTGCTGCATCCTGCAGCATCTTGCTTCTTGCCTCTTCTCAGTGGGGAGACTGGGTCTGTACTGGAGTCGATGTGGGTGTTCATAGGTGTTGATCGAGCCATGCCAAGCCGGCCTGTTCCTCTCCGTTCCCAGCTCTGGGGTTTCTGGGCTGCTGGGACCAGCTTGTCCCATGTAGGAGGCTCCAGGGATGGAGCAGGGAGGCACTGATTGAGCCACGTTGGGAGTGGAGGCTCAGCAGGGTCCCAAGCATTGAAATGGCCCAGGGCTGGCGGAGGGCTGGCACGTGGTGGCTGCAGCTATGTGACGCTTCCTTTGTCAGATCTGGAACGACTTCATGAACCGGTCGGGCGAGGAGCAGGAGAGGGTCCTGCTCTACCTGGAGGGAGAGGCCAAGAAGAAGCACAAGAGGAAGCTGCCAGTTAAAGCGGAGGACGAGTGGAAAGGTACGGGGCTGGGGGAAGCCTGCCAGGACCCTCTGGGGTCAGGCTAGGAGCTACCTGCTGTAGCCTGACCTGGCCACGAGGGTGATCGGGGGGCTCCCCACCTGCTGTGGGTCCTCCAGCGAGCAAGGTGCGTGCTGGTGACCTGTAGGAAGGACTTGGGGATAAAGCTGCCACTTCTGCTGCAGGGGTAGAAGGAAGCCAGCTCCTTCTGGGCAGAGGGCAACTGTCATGGCAGTGCCCTCTGGGGGGGACACTGCATGCCCTCTGCATGTGAAGAAGGGGAAACAGCTGAGCCAGACGGAAGTGTCTGGGTCTGAGACACGGTCTCCGCTGCTCAATTTTGGATGGAGACGTCAGTCTCGTCCGCGGGCATGATGTGCCCGAGACGCAGGTGTGGTGGGGCAGGCTGCTCCCGGAGCTCTGACGTGCACGTCCTGCCCCGTGTGTTGCAGAGCACCCCGCCTACACGCCCCAGGAGTGCTTCCAGCGCATCAGCCGCCGGCTCCGCTCCACGCTGAAGCGAGGCAGGATCCCGCTGGTGAGAGCCCAGGCGGCGGCGGGCTGGGGACTGTTCCTGGGCTGAGGCGTGGCTCTGACTTGCTGGGGAGCCGGGGCTCCTGCCTTTTCACCAGCCCCCCCGACCCTTAAGGCACCTGCCTCTCTTCTGCAGGGGACCCTGGAGGGCCTGGAGGAGGAGCTCCTGGGTTTTTTCTCTGTCACCCCCCAGTCCGTGTACACCGCGATGATGGACAACAGGTAGACGGTGCTGGGAGGCTGCTCCTGTCCCGGAGGACGGAGAGAGCTGTGCAGGGGGTTTTGCTCGTGGCTTCCTTCAGGCTGGGTGTTTGACCCATCAAAGGTCCCGGGGAGACGGGCCAAAGGGCTGCAGTGGAGAACGGGCCGTGTCTATCCGGCCCACTCCTGGCACCTTCTGTCTACTGGACTGGAGGGGGCTGGCTCTGCCCTGCTGCTGGCTAGACAGCATCGCCCCAGGGCCCCAAGAGCAACAGGAACCCACTGCGCCCATGGCTTGTCCACCCTGCTGGGTGCCACGTGCCATGAAATCTCTCCCCCGGGGCTTGCAGCGGTGGGAGGAGGGAGCCGCCGGGGCCTGGGGAAGAGGCAGAGCTAGAAAACCTCCTGTGATCTCCCCCCACTACTTCTGGATCTCTCTCTTTCTCCACCCTCCAGCTTTGAGCGGCTGCTGCTCCACGCGCTCTGCCAGTACATGGACCTCGTCTCTGCCAGTGAGAGCCCGCGCATTTATTTATCTTTCTTCCTGCCCGTTTCCAGCTTTCCTCCTCTTCCGCAGCCCTTGGCCTTGGGTGCTGGGCCATGTAGCCAAGCAAGGCTTCACATCCAGGCGGCCTCGGCCCCTGACTGTGCTGGGGGCAGCGATGGGCCTTGCGGGGGCTGTGTCTATTGGCTCCAGGGCTTCACTGCCTCCCATCACGTGGTGTGTGCAGGCCCTGGTTTGTATTGGGCTGCCTGTGTCCTGTGCTTCCAGACATCCAGCCCCTGACATGAGCAGGCGGGTTCAGCAGGGAGCCTGCAGTCGTGCCTTGATGCTCCCTGCCTTGCTCTGAGCTGTGCGTCCCCATTGGCTCCACTCCCACCCCTCTCCTTACTGCAGTGTGATGCAGAGGCAGGGAAATGATGCGGTGCAATGCAGCTGGGCTGGAGACCACAGCTCTCCAGGGAGGCGGGTGGCAAGTCTGGGGAGGAATCTGTGTGCCAGCGTGCTATAGCCAGGAAGCTGCCAGCTCCACTGCGTGCGCAGCTTGGTCCTTTCTGCCTGCTGGTTCATTAGCAGGTGGGTGTGAAAATGCCAGTGAAGTGCTAATGGCTCAGGGCTGGGCAGCAGGGAGCTGGCAGGGGCCCAGAGCAGGAGAGGAGGGCACATGGAGCGTGGTGTCTGCTGCCAGCGCCGGCTCCAGCAGATTTCACGGGCTGAGGACTGTACCTTAGCAGGCGCGAGCCCCTGGAAGGTGGCAGCCCGGAGGTGGGGGCAGCTGTGGCCCAGAGCAGTGGCTCTTCGCTCGTCTAGGCGTGGACGTCACTTCTGGTCTGAACCCGACCTTTCATTTGGATGCCTTTTTCTCCCTGCAAAGCCTCTCCTTCCCCACACCCTGATGAGCTCCACGCTGCCTCTGTCCGCATCCGTGCAGGGTTTGGCTGCGTTTCTTCGGGGCACGGGCAGTGATGGCAGCATGGCGTGGCTCTAACCGCAGCTCTCCTCCTCCGTCTCAGGTTCCAACTTCGAGGGGAAACGCCAAATGAAAGTGAGCAACAAGCACCGCGTCTTCCTGCCCCCAGAGCTCCTGCTCTCGGCCTACCTGGAGCAGATGAGCTGATACACCGCGGGCCCCCTGCCCCTCCTGCTCTGCGCGCCGACGGCTGCTCCGACCCCGCTGCCTGCCCCCCTTGTGCGGTGGCCTAGCCAGTGGGTGGCTTTGCGTGGGGCGGGGTTCAATCTGCAACGTGTGCCCTGCTTCAAGGCATGAAATCTTTTCCCTTCCCCATCCCTGGAGCTCTGCAGGGATCTCCCAAAACTCCTGTCTCTCCCCCGGGAGGCACAAACTTCCCCCAGGGTCTCTAGCTGGCTCTTTCCTCCCTTCCAGGCCAGAGTCTGTCCCTTCTTGGTCTGTATTAAGGAAGGCACCAGCTCCTTTCTTTGCAAAAGCCCTGACATCTCTGTCCCCGTGGTGGGGCCACCTCCCAGCTGTGTGCAGGTACCAGCCCCTGTGGGCTGCAGCCTCTCCTGATGTCCAGGCTGGGGGGAGCAGGGAGAGGTGCTGTCTTATGGGTCAATCTCATTCATGCCAGTGCTTCATTTCTGGGGCTCGTTTGGGCTGTTAAAAGCCCCTTGGAGGCTGCAGCAGCCTCCCTCTGGCTTAGCCCTCCCCACAAGCTGACCTAAATGCTTTAGGTATTTAAAGTGATCTCCATAGGATACAAAAGTCCTGGGCTCTTCTCTGCATGGGAGAGGCCGGGTCTCTGTCCCATAGTGGAGATGAGCCTCAAAGGCCGGATGATTCGACCTTTGGATCATCACCCTTGTGATCACAGGGGGACGCCAGGGCCTTGACCTGCTGCGCAGACATCGCTGCGCGCATACAGTCGGTCCCTGCACCTGCTGCGGCTGCTCCCCATCGTCCCGGCTAGGTGGAAGCATGTCTATGTATAACCCAGCTGGCTCTAAAAATAGGCGCAGCGATTCCAGACCCCTGCTCGTGCCAGGGGAGCTGCTGCTGGGGGGAATCTGCCCCGGTAACTCTTAATGCCCATCACGCAGCTCCTCTTGCCTCTCCGCCCCGCAGACCTCTGCAGCTGGGCAGCTCGGGGCCCAAAGCCTAAGCCCATGCTTGGAGCTTTAAACCTGGGCTTAAGTGCTGGGCTGCAGCTGAGGGGTAGTCCTCCTCCTCCAAGGATTTCTCTCCTACATTTACATTTTGCAAATACTGGGGGGATGTCCCTGCATCCGTGATGCTGTCTGGGACAGGGGCAGCTTTGAGAGCCTGTGATTTTTATTTTTTTGTGCCTCTCTTTTCCCTCTCCCAGGGCAAGCACTTCTGAAGCCAGAACAGCCCTGGGAACCATCTCTGCCGGGTGGGCGCCCTGTAGGACGCCCGTGCCCTGGCACTTGCCTCCCCATGCCCATCCAGAGCCAAACACTTGCCTCTTAAGGGGTCTGGGTCTTGCCGTAGCCAAACGGCCCCGAGCACTGTCTTCATCCAGCTAAAGGCTCCTCTCTGGGGTTAGGTCCCAGGGGAAGGGGGTCTGTTTTAGCTCTCGTGGCAGCTCTGGGGGGACGGGCTGGGTGTTGGCACCAGCCCTGTCCTGTAGCTTCTCCCTGCAGCCTGGCACCGAAGCTGGGCTGCAGCAGCTGAAGCTTCAACACAGAGAGCAGCGAGATCTAATGCCAAGGCCTGGCGTTCTCCACAGGGCAGGGCTCCCATCCTTTTTAAATGTAATATAGTGTGTCCTTTTTTTATACGTATTTGTGTGTGTGTGATTTAACTCAGGTCCCCGGCTGCCCCGCTGCTCCCAAGGTGGCTGGAGCTTGATGTTGAAGCTTTGCCACCTTGGACAGCTAGGAGCGCCAGGGCAGGGGGGAGTGTTTTGTGCCGTGGCGCTGTGTGAAATGGGCTTGGTTTCCAGTGCCGTAGAGCCACAGACTGTGCCGCCTGTGGTTTTTAACACATACGCTCTGTGGGGTTTTTCTGTGTGTGTCTGTATCTGCCATGTATCAAGGGCTTCTCTTCCGTGTATATAGCAGCTGGTTTGAAAGGGACTCGCTGGGTTCGGGGTGCTGCTGCCTTGCACTTGTGTGTGTCACTGTTCACAGCTGTACAAAAGCCTCGTGCATGCCTGGGCCGGGGGGAGCCGGGATGGGTCGAGGAGGGGGTTCGTGGTGCTTCTCAGCCTGGGTGACGGATGGGGTTTGCTGCTGCTCTTCTGCGCTCTGCCTTTGCTAGGCTTGCTCCTGATTCACCTTGTTGTGAGTGGGATGGGGGAGAGCAGTGTCACACTTCACCACCACGGCATCGAGGGCTGGGGGCAAGGAGGAGCTGGGCTCTTTTATAGCATCTTCTGCTCTGATCTAATCCTCCTGAAGGCCCAGCTCCCCCATGGGTCCCCATCACTAGTGCCTCCTCCTTCCACCTCTGCCCTCTTGGCAAACCAAAGTGATCTTCGTGGCCCCACCAGCGTCCTGTGCAGCCGAGCGCACGCTGGGGCCTGCAGCCTGTGGCCGGTGGTTGTGTCGTTGCTTCGGGAGCGTGTTGTAAAGATTTCCTTCCTCTTCTTAAATGTGTTCGATGTCCCAACTCCAGCCCCAGCTCTTGCCTCTGCTCCTTGTGATGGTTGCTGTGGGGGCCGGTCTCGGGAAGGCGAGGACATGTACGGAGCCGGAAGGTGTCTGCACGAGAACAATAAACTATGGTGCTCCGGCCTGCCTGTGTCCACGTCTTTGTTGGGGGGCGAAGCCAACGGTGTCTGTCCGCGGGGGGCTTCCAGCAGGAGGCTGTGGGGTGCGATGGGGGCTGTCCTGGGAGAAGCTCCACGGGGCTGCAGACGCGGGGCAGTCTAGCGGTGCAGCCCTCACTCAAAGCACCGCATCGAGGCATCTCCTCCCTTGCAGGTCCATGTCTCAAATGCTGCCACGGCCTGATTCTTCCTCCTCTTTTTTTAAAAAAAATGACCAGACAAGGACTCTGCTCCTGAATTTCAGTGCACTATTTCTTCTTTTTTTTTTTTTTTCTCCAAGCAGTTGAGCTAAGGTGCCACCCTTAGGCCCTTGCTGCTTGAACGCTGCACACGGGTGGGGGAAGAAACAGCAGCAAAGTGGGCTTCTCAGCTGGGCAGGGGCCAGGCATTGCTCTCCCTGCTGCTAGGCCTGCTTTGTGGGGCAGGAGCAAGGTTTGGTTTATAAGGAGTGAGGCCACCTGGGTGCAGCGCTGAGGCTCGGAGGCAGGGCGAGCTTGGGAGCTGGTTGAGCTCAAGTGGCTCCTGCATGGGGTGGAGGAGAGGGCTCCCACTCGCAGCCCTTGGCCCCAGTTCTTGCCTTGTCCATTGGCCGCTCTCCTACCTCCCAAACTCCAGATGCTTCAGATGCTCCCAGATCCAAGCCCCGCCGGCCTTGGAGGTCAGGTGTCCCCTTGTCTTGTTTGCCCCCAGCCAAAAGGCCAACGGAGCAAGCTGGGAAGCCCAAAAGTGATCCCACCCCACCCCATAAACTGCATAGCTCAGACCCTTGCAGTTGGAGGCAGCCGGAGACTCTCGCAGGGATCAGCAAGGGCCAGGCCTCACCGCTGCCTGCACCACGGCGCTCAGAACCAAGGGGAAGTAAGAGCCACCAGGGCTGACAGCATCTCCCCTGCCAGGTGTGGGGGTCTGCGGGAGGCTTCCCGCCCTGCAATTATTTTTCAGTAAGAGGATGCGCCAACTGGGAAACCTCACATGGAAGAAGCAGGACTTGGATGTGGGAGGGAAAAGGGGCTGCGGGTGGAGGGTGCCTAATGCCCCCAGGCTCCAGCTGGCTTGGCTGGGAGACCCCCAAGCAAACACGTAATGCAGCGGGCAGCGCCCTGGGCCTGCCAGCTGCACCCGCAAGCATGCCAGGTGCCTGCTGGGCTCAGACGGGCACAGTGGCACGTAACCCTCCTCCGTGAGGACCTCCAGGGGAGAAGAAATGGAGCCCTCCATGCTCTCCACCTCTTCCCACGGGTGGTACGGGTCCGGGCCTTGCAAAAGCATGCACAGGAGCCCCTGCCCCGTGCCCCTTCCTGCCAGCTGGGGCAGCTCCCCTGCACCCTGGCAGCAGGGGCAGGAGCTGGGGGGACTTTCCCTCCCAGGGGGCCTAGGGCAGAGGGGGCGTGTCCTTCCAGCCCCCAAATGGCAAAGGGGCTCCGGCTGAGGGTCCCGCTGCGGCTGCAAGGGAGCAAAACTGTGGGCCTCGGGAAGGGCAAACTATGGACCCGAGGAAAGCAAAATATGGAACGCTTCACGAATTTGCGTGTCATCCTTGCGCAGGGGCCATGCTAATCTTCTCTGTATCGTTCCAATTTTAGTATATGTGCTGCCGAAGCGAGCACAAACGTACCCTCCATTTGATTACTATTTATACCTCATAGATATTCAATTCATCCCTGTCAGGGTTATTAATTATAGCTCTTTATGGAGTATGACTAGTTGAATTATTACCGAGAAACATTGCTCAATGCATAATGTGTTTTTAGTTTCTAAGTTATTTTTGGTAAAATCTTAGGAAACCTCCTCTTTTCCAGCGCCTGCGACGCGAGGGATTCTGGGAGAGGGAGGATATATGCAAATCGACACCGGCCCGGAGCACTGCCTGGCGTGGAAGGACCCCGCTGTGGGGGTGTCCTTGGCGGTGCCTGC